TCGCGGTCTTCCAGGTGAGTTAAATTCGTTGTTTTGTGATTTTTTCATCATTCTAACGGATGATCTTTATCGTTTTAAGGTCCTGCTGGTATTGCTGGCATTCCTGGATCACCCGGTGAGAAAGGAGACAAGGGACCACCAGGACCAACGATTCAAATCAAAGGAGAAAAGGGTGAACCTGGTCATCCTGGTTTAACTGGACTACCTGGCGCTAAAGGTGATCGTGGTTTGGAAGGTATGGCTGGATACGATGGAGAGAAAGGAGATAGAGGTCTTCCTGGTCCGGTAGGAAGTCCTGGCCCACCTGGAGCGGTAGGCCTTAAAGGTAATCTTATCTATCATATATTTTTTCTTTTATTAACCGTGTGATTAAGGCTTGTATGTAAGTTGTAATAAGCTATAATGATCTCTTTTGAACAGGTGATCAAGGTCCATCTGGTATTCCTGGTCAACCTGGAATAACAATTAAGGGTGAGAAAGGTTTACCTGGTTTGTTGGGTAAACATGGACGAGATGGACTTCCGGGTCGCCCAGGAGAGAAAGGAGAACAAGGACTTACTGGATTGCCTGGACCAAAAGGAGATACTGGACCTTATGGTCCTGTCGGACCTCAAGGAGAAAAAGGTGACCAGGGTCCTATCGGTCTTACTGGTCCACCTGGACGCGATGGCGCGCCAGGTCTCGAAGGAATACCGGGTTTACCAGGTGATAGAGGTCCAAAGGGAGACAGAGGACAACCAGGACTTTTCGGTGCCCCAGGACAGAAAGGAGAGCCTGGCCAACCAGGTAAAACTTTTGCTATATAAAACGCCTTTGAAATTATTTTTTAAAAATTTGATATGCACGTACATTGTACAAATTTTCGTGTACATAACATTAGGTCAAAATGGTTTGGACGGTCTTCCTGGAGAAAAGGGTGATATTGGTTGGGATGGAGCAACTGGACTTCCTGGAATAGCTGGTGAAAAGGGAGATCGAGGATATCCTGGTGCTATGGGTTTAATGGGTGCCGTTGGATACGTTGGTGCTAAGGGTGAAAAAGGTGACGATTGTATTGAACCTCCATTAGGACCGAAGGGTGATCGCGGTTATCCAGGTATAACTGTAGAACTATTCTTTTTATTTAATTTGAGCATAAACATATACTAAATCTATGATCTAATATGTAATCATTTTGAATTAATTTTTAATAGGTCCTGCTGGATTACCTGGACAATCAGGAGAGAAAGGTCTTCCAGGACCACCTGGTTTCCCAGGAGTGAACGGTGCAAAAGGAGCTCCAGGATTTATGGGACCTCCTGGTCCAATTGGATTGACAGGTCTTGCCGGCCCACCTGGTTCACCTGGTTTGCCAGGTCTTGAAGGTCCTATTGGTGCTCCTGGGCCTGCTGGAGAACCAGGTCAACCATGCGAAACAACACCCGATTATCTCACCGGCATTTTACTAGTCCGACATAGTCAGAATCAATTTGTACCTTCCTGTGAACAAGGTCACATCAAATTATGGGAAGGATATAGTTTATTATTCACGGACGGCGACGAGAGAGCTCATTCTCAGGATCTAGGTAAGAAAAAAAAATCAATTATTCTAACGTCATACGTAATGAAAAAAAAATTATTAATTGGCATATTAACTCGTTCAATAAATCTCTGTCGGGGGAAAAAAAAACAGGTAGCGCTGGCTCGTGCGTAAGAAAATTCTCGACAATGCCCTTCCTAGTTTGCGATATCAACGATGTTTGCAATTACGCTAGTCGCAATGATCGTTCTTATTGGTTGTCAACGAATAGTCCAATTCCTATGATGCCAATCGAAGAATCGGCGATAGAGGAATACATCTCCAGGTATGTTTGTGTATTTGTTTTTTACATCTCGTAGAAATAAATATAATAATACTCTTGCATAATTTTCCATGTATTCGTATAAAAATTTGCATCGACTTAGATTAAGATTGTATTTCGATAAATGTGTTGTATCCGTATTAATAAACATGAATTCGCGCGGGGTTTACGCATGAAGTTATGAAAATGAAGTGTCGCTATTAATAATTGATAAGCGTCACACCGTGTCATGCCTCGTGATACGTATTACATTGGTTACACACATCGATTTGAATAGTTCGAAGGAGATATACTATGTATGATATTATTATATAAAAAGGTGTACTAAAAGAGAATTTTTCTTATTTTTTTTTATTTAAATAACAGATGCGTAGTATGCGAAGTTCCGGCAAATGTTCTAGCGGTACACAGTCAGTCCCAAAACGTTCCGGATTGTCCAAGTGGATGGACTGGCCTTTGGATTGGATACAGTTTCATAATGGTACGTCATAGAAAAAACGAAATTCTTCAAAATTTGTCCCCTTAACATCTTCTTTCTTATGAGAGGAGAGAAAACTCTCCTCTCACGTCTTACTTACTTTTTCCATCTTTTTTTTTCTTCTTCTTCTTTTCAGCACACTGGCGCAGGTGCTCAGGGTGGTGGACAATCATTGTCCGGTTCTGGTTCATGCTTGGAAGATTTCCGGGCGGTTCCTTTCATCGAGTGCAATGGCGCGAAAGGTCAATGCCATTATTATTCGAACGAGTATAGTTTTTGGATGTCTAACATAGAAGATAGTCAACAATTCCGTGCGCCCAAACAAGAGACCTTAAAGGCAGGAAACCTTAGGTCAGGAATAAGTCGCTGCCAAGTTTGTATAAAGAATACGTAAATTTTCCCATCTCTTCCTTTCCCTTCCTTCCCATCACCACCCCACCCTCTACTCTCCACCTTTACTTTGTATTCTCTTTATCTTTTATTTTATTATCGCGGCAACGATAAAAACGCATTTGGGATCGTTATTGAGAAGAAACAACGACACAATGGCCTTACGAAAGAAGAAAGAAAGCATACGACGAATAAATTTAAACAAAAAGTAGAAAAAGAAAGAGAGATTATAAAAAAAAATTAAATAGGTCAGATTTAATCCGAACGCAAGGATTCCTTATTTTTTTTCTTTATAATCGAATTTTTCTTATCCCCTTATTTTTTTCTTCTTCTACTTCTCTAACTTCCAATATTCTTTTTTCCTTTTCTGTTCTTTCTTTCACGCTTACAATCAATCAGTGGTAACCTTTCGTCAATTCGATTAATGTTTCTTCCTTCCGATCTTTTTGACAATTTCTCTTCTTACGTATTTTTATATAACTATTAAATCAAGCAAGCAATTCAAGTGCCTTAGCGTACTATCCCACTTAGCATGTAAAATAATAAATATATAAATATATTTATATCTCGTTAAAAGAAGAAACAAAATAATAAAAAAGAAATTAAAAAGAAAAAAAAATATATACAAAAACGTTAAAAAAAAAAAGTATAAAAAACTGTAAGAAAAATTTGTTAAGATTATATCGTACTACCATGGACACTGCCCATATCCAATATGGCACATTTTACATATTGTATATTAAATATAAAAAAAAAAAGATCCTTAGCCTCGTAATTGTGTGAAGCCAAATATTTAAATAAATAGGTATTTTGCTACGTAGATAATAAAATGACATTTTCAAATTTATCTTTTAAATCAATCCATTTGTCTTGTCCATCCGAAGATGCAATATAATTAATCTACATACGTAAATATGTATGTAAAAATAAAATAATATGTAAGTCGTAACTATAATACGTAATAATACGGTCGAACCGTGTGCATATCAGAGCCTTACCTTAATTCTTTCTTTTTTTTTTATCTTTCCTTTTTAACATCGACTAATTAATAGTTTTAAAATAACGCATTCAACGACAAAATAAAGCATTCTGTAAATCTCAATAATTTTTTTCATCCTTGTTTGCAACATTGTATTATTTGTACAAATGTTGTTGTTTTTATTGTTGTTTTCTTGACCATCGAACCTTCGTTTTTATTTTTTTTTTTCAAATGTTTTCAACGGATATCAATGTGGTCAATTATTATTTGTTTATACCGTCGAACTAGAACAAGTAACAGGTAAGATCGAATGCATTTTTGCAAGGACAACCTTGGGACACTGTTATAAACAACGTTTAGCTTCGATAAACAAATAGTTTATCAATTGCGAAAGTTTCTTTATTTAAATATGCACATATTATAATTAGTGATATATTGGATACATTGTTTTTGGAAAAGTATTGAAATTATTTGACTATTCGATATTCGAAAGGACGGAAGTAAGGAATAACATTTATACTGCAGTGATATTTCCTTGCATGCACTTTTGTTTAATCCAAAGCTCATTCGAAATGGAACATTTCCTCGAATAGTTTCTCGGTTTTAATGCAAATGAAATGGTAAGATGAATATGCGTATAGGAGAATTAGTTTGTGTGTATCATGTTATTTTCTTATATTATTTTCAACGATCTTGTTGATCTATTCAAATTAGCATACGCTGTTTTATTTTTCATTGAAAACGGGCACACCTTTTCGTAGCGCTCGGTAAATCAACAAACTCGTAATTTTGTTTTCTACTCTGTGAGAAGAAATATTATAGAAGAAATTCTAGACTCCCGGTAGATATTTTGTTTGTTTTTTTTTTTTATTTCGAACTGATCATCTTATTCACTAATTTCAATAAAGTTCAAATCCTTGACCATTACCAAACTTATTCATGAAAACCGGAATTACCGCATTCCTCTTAAAATTTTATTTAAAATTAACTATTCTTTTTTTATTGTTTGAAATATTATTATATTTATCGAATAGTATAGTTTAAAGAAGAAAAAGAATAAATGATATTGTTACGATTTGTTGATCATTCGAAATATAAAAAGATCAATCAAAAGTAAATCAATATAACAAAAGTAGATTAATAAATGTAAGATTATTGATTCTAATATAGTGCAACAAATTGATACGAGGATATTAATCAATGACGTAAACATATAATCTGTATTTAATTAATTATAAAAGAAGGTGTGGAACTGAACCGACCAATCCGACCGGTTTGTTTATTTTCCAGCCTCCTTCGAACATTTCGAATATTATTGTCATATGTTGATCTCCACTCAGTGATCGAAGAACAGTTGATCGTAGTGATCATTTTTGAATCGTTTTCTAATTCGTCTATGTTTCGAATAACAACGCAACTTATTCGAATCATCTAATCGATAAATTGTTTTTGTTTCTCTTTTCTTTCCTTTTTTTTTTTTATTATTCAAAGAACAAATAAATTCAGATTAAACGGTGATCGAATGAAATGTCTGGTTTAAATTCACGAACACGATGGGAAGTTCGAGCTTCTCATATTGCAAAAAGAACGCACAACCCTATAAGATCGATCGTTGAAAACATCGTCGTAGAACCTAATCCTAAGAAGAGAATGATCGCATTGTCGATCGGTGAGTTTTATCACGAATTTTTGAACTTTTATTTTGACATGAATTTGGAGAACGATTTTCATTTTCTTTGTTTCTTTTTTTTTCGAAGGGGTTGTGTCAGGGAATACGTTTTATTGGTTTTTTCTAAAAAATGTAATACGTAGAAAAAACATTTATTCAATAAAAATTTGATATTTTATGTATCATGTGTAAACGATACATCGATATGCCATCGTTTGTTTATATTCAATGATTGGATTGGGTGATCGATCAAATCCGTCATTTTCAGATAAATGTTTTTTAAATGAATTCGTGTTAATAAAAAAGAAAAAATATGTCTTTAGTAATATTTCATATATAACGATAAATTCGTTAATTATTTCTTTGGAAAAAGAAAGAACAAATGATAGTTGATATGTATAAATTTGAAATCAGATAAATTCGACCTAAAAGACAATAGAAAATGCTTTACTTTACATTTTAATGTCGAATGTATAAAAATTTGACAAAAGGTTTTAAAACTGCATCCTTGAAATATTGAATTATCGAATATGAATCAATGAGTCGATGAGTTTTACGATCAAAATTATTCATCGTGGTTTTTATTTTTCACACAAAACTGCTTTCGACAATTTTTTCGGAGATAATAATAATAATAATAATAATAATAATAATAATTCGTAATATTTGTTAAAAACGTACGAAAAGTGTATAAAAAAGTATAATAAAACGAATGAAATTGTAACGTTTTCTAATAATGTTTGCACATTCGAAGGTGATCCAACGACTTTTGGGAACTTAAAACCAGCAAAGGAGGTAATTGAAGCTGTTCAAGAAAGTGTTGCTTCGCAAATGTACAATGGTTATGCTCCGAGTACAGGTAAAATATGAATAAAAATGCAGTCGCGTATCCAAGAATAGGAATTTTATTTCCTTTTTTCCTTCACGTAGGTTATGAAAAAGCAAGAGAAGCTGTAGCCGAGTACAGTTCTACCGATTTCGTTAAGGTAGAAGCCAAGGTACGTTCAAGTTAGAAGAAAAATAAGTAAGAGAGAGAAAGAGAGAGAGAGAGAGGGAGAGAGAGAGAGAGAGAGAGAGA